CCGATTATTTTATTAAAGCATAGAATGTCAGGTAATTTTCTGTTCCTTCACCGATACGTCTTTTAACAAACATTAATGCTTTCCCACTACAAGATTGAGTAGACCGGATTGAGTTTTCACTTAATTACACTTACAGTAGTAACTGAGACTTGAGTATCCTGAAATAAAATCACCATTTGTGTTAGTATAGGCCTAGAGATTACATTAACTTTCTGCAAATAATGATACAATTCTTTACACCACCCCCACCACGGTTAACCCTAAACCCATTATTTTATTAAAGCATCATGGACATATTAGTGAGGGCATGGCCCAAATGCAATTTACCACTCTTCTTATGGCATGCTAGACCATGGGGCAATTAACTTACAGCTTAGCTAGGCCAACAAAAGGCCCAGGTTCTAGGCCTAGCCCTATATCCTCAATGGCCTAGAGAGAACACAGAACCTCAGTTCTGTCTGTCTCCGTACGGCGGCTAGGCTAGTACCGGTACAGCTACTGTAGGAATTAGGCTAGGCCAGGCCTCTTCATTCAAGCCTTCATCTACCACTACTACTAGGCCTAGGAGGAGGCTAGCGTGCCGATAGCCACTACTGTCTATTAGAGTAGTAAACTAACTAAATAATAAAACAAAACCAACTCTTACCACTTGATAGCAGGGTTGGCAGATATTCGACAGGCTTCACGGCCAAACACACGCCATCTCACGGCCAAATTCGGCCAAACTTTTTTTCAATATCGGCCAAAATTCGGCCAGATTTTAATCCGATTAGAAGACAGTTATGGGTACATATTCATTTGAAATACTGCAAAATTTACAGGAAAATCAGGGGCCGTTCGTTTGAAATTGAAGAAATTCAAATAATATACACAGAACAATGTTAAACTTCTTTTAATCTATCACCATAAAATACATGCCCAGCTACATCATAATATTAAATAGCCTAGGCCCTATTTCTTTAGTTGCTGACGCCCGAAAATAACCTTATGCGTTTGGGCGATCAATTTTTCTTTTTTTCTTTTTTTTTCACCACTCCCCACCCCTCCCCCACCCTAAATCCAGCTTCTGCTATTTAAAATCACATCATTAAGATTGATCTAAATTGATTTAAATGTATTACATATTAACGTACATTGTAGTCGATCTATAGCAAACATTTTAAGGTCCTGTTATTGGTCAACCCGTTTCTCTCTTTAATTAGAATGAATTAAGTTACATAGTTAGGTAACACAATCTGGCGTTAAAACAAACCTATGAAAACTTTAATAAATACTTTTTATCTAAACTTTCTAAATTCGCCTCTGAATGTTATTGTCGCAGTACTTAAAGCAATAAATCAATGTTGCTATCAGAATTATCTTCTTCATTCTCATTATGCAACCTAACTCCAGAGTCTCTGCAACACTTGCTTGAAATTGGAGGTGCCATCGGACCCGGATAAGCACATCAAGCATTTAAACACTGCAGCCCCCAGGGCTATACAATTAAAGTGGGCAATAATAAATCCATTAAGTACCGGTACAGTATTTAATTTATATTTAAAAGAAATTCAAAAGAACCTCCACTAGAATGGAACATATACGACACACAGTATGGTACAAACTTGCATTGAACTTCATAAAAAAATATGTATTTCATCCGAACAATTTAAATTATTAAATGTAACTTATCTTTTAAATAAACTCTCTTACCTCACATCAGCTAAAGGGGGAACATAGATTAAGTGTTTAGTGCAAACAAAGGTACATGATTCAGGGGCGGATCCATGATTTTGAAGAGGAGGTTCAAAACGTTTCCAAAAATACACAAAATGAAAGGGGGTCCGGGGGTCCTCCCCATGGAAAATTTCCCCCTTGAATCCGCCACTGTATGGGGGGAATCCTTTAACGCGCAGGTGACCTAGGGTTTTAAAACAAATACCGTATAGGCCTATACTCACGTATAAACGAGGCTTAAAATAGCAAACTACGATCGAAAAAAGGGGGTCGTCATATACGCACGACATTCAAATTTTAGATTTTTATATTTATATTCATGTTCGTCTTATGTGCGGATGTTCGTCTTATGTGCGGATCCTCCGTAAATCTGGTTTTCTACTAGGCGAATTTATTCACGCGAATCCAAAGCGTCGGCTTATGCACATGAGCATTCACATTCCTATCGGAGTTTTTGAGAAGCGAAAAAATGCGCAACCAATCAGAGCTCGGGAAGCGAGCCGACTCTTTGATTTGCGCGAATAAATTCGCCTAGTGGAAAACCAGCTTAACACGCGAACTTACTACTGCAATGAAGCAACTAAATGTTGTATCAATGAAAGCAATTTTAAATATGGGAAAATACGATTTTGGTGGTGAAGATTTAAAAACTCATAAAATGGTATTATTTGGAAGATTACCCTTGCATTTGACTCCATTTATCCAGCAAGACGCAGTATACAGGACCACAAAAAATTAGGAATTCCGACCATGAAACAGGGAGTCGTCTTATACGCCAGACATACAAATATCAACCAAATATCTTCTAAAACTCGGGGGTCGTCTTATACACGGGTCCCCTTATAAGACCTACGCGAGTGTATACGGTATTATTACGGAACCCCTGCGGAAGTTCGGGTTCCCGTCACATTTTAAACGGTTGGTTGTAACAATAAACTCGCAAGACTGCTCGCGACTACTAGATTCTACAAGTGCGAGGTATTGTAATGGGTTGTTTTGGTCGGAAAGGAAAAGATTTCTCTGTGAATTGATTCTCGAACGAGATAAAGAAAGCTCCCTAACGACTCAAGCTACTGTATACCATTTTTATATTTTTAATAAAACCAATTTCTTCTAATTTCAAATACGTTTTCCCCTGAATTCGTTATCACGCAAGTGCTAAATGCTTGACACATTTATGACCTCGCATGTGTTTCTGCAAAATGCGTTTCATCCAATATCACTTTGAAGTGATGCGTGACAGTTGGTGACTATGGCATAGATAACTGCCGGTCCCTAGGTAAAATTGGTAAAATGCACCTGATCGGACATAGAGACAGAGCCTCTAGTGGGGTCTAATCAGGCGAAACTCTGAATGCTTATACGTTCTGAGGTTTTTTAAAACAGATACGGTACGGCATTAACGCTCAGAAATATCTAAAAAATATTTTGTTAAAAAAAGTAAAGAATATTGAGAACAAACTATGGTCAAGTCATGTTATTGTTTAGGGCCTATTAAGCATTTCATGAATTTATGATATATTATAATATTGACAACATCATCGATAGAACATATAGGTGGAATTGTGTCCAACCCGTCGTGAAAATGTACGGAATACTCAGTACATGTGAAAAACACTTGCAAAAATAGTACTCGCTGCTTATTTGGCTCCAATTCAACCCTGGCCATCAGGTGCAAGCTCGGTGGTCTAAAGGCATGATGCCAGGCTAGTGATCTGGAGAATGTGGGTTCGAGTCCCATTGGAGAACAACTTGCAAATACACTGAGTATTCAATACATTTTCACGACAGGTTGGGCAAAATACATAAGCCCCCTAATTGATTCTCCTGACGCAAATCCAGGTATTGTCTATTCCATCACGATGATAACAATAACCATTCAATAATAGAACAGTCATCGACCTACTTGCAGTGAACTGAATCTAAAATGTATTCATGAAGTTATGATGACCTGAAGTGTTTGAAAACGTACACAATAATAGTTGAACCAACTTTAAAATACTGTACCACAAACACAAACTGTGCGTGACAATATTGTATTGCTTTAGAAATGTGATTTCAAAAAGTATATTAGTCCATCGTATACGTAAGGGCTTGTATTGTTGTTTTTTTTTTTACTTGCAGCGTTTTATCAGGTGCTAGGCTCTGAGTGAAGGAATAATGAAGTACATAGATTGTGACAGTTTATCAGAACAAAAGTATGTTAATTACAAAGTGATTAAGTCTTGTTTAGATGGATAAAAGAAAGCCTGCAGGATTAAGTATTATATCGTAACAAGAACTTGCGTCTATGTCTACATGAACTGAATAATTCGTTCCTTTGATTTAGAGTACAAATTTCGGGTTGACATATAATAAAATACTTCTCTTGTATACAAAGGTTACATCGTTTGGTAGAGTTGGAATATGATTTACATTTAGATAATATACGCCATTTAATTTTGTAC